GTTATAGTGGTCCGATATCGGCAGTTCCGACAAATGAGTAGCTTCTTGAAGAGAAAATGGTGTTTGCAAAATTTCAAAACGATATCTTAAAAACTGAGGGACTAGTTCGTATATATACAGACAGACGGACAGACGGACATGGCTAAATCGAATCAGCTCAACATACTGGTCATTCATATATATACTTTATAGGGACTCCGACGCTTTCTTCTGGGTGTTACAAACTTCGTAACAAAATTAATATAAACTGTTCAGGGTATAAAAATCTGCTCGAAAATCAATTTGATGCTCAATGTTTTTTCCAATATTCGTAGTTTTACGCATCATAAATTTATTCCGGAGGGACAGATGTTCTAAGGAGTGCTATTTAGCCATATTGAGGCGTTTGTGGAAGAACAATTCGTGGCATTTACATGATGATAATGCACCATCGCATCGAGCCACAATTGTGATGGAATTTAAAGCCAAAACGCAATGAATAACATGACTGACCACAGTATTCAGCGGATTTGGCTCAGTATAATTTTTCGTGTTCCCCAAACTGAAATTACCTCTCCGTGGAATCATTTTTTTTTTTTTTATTTCAGTTGATCGAAGAGATAAAAAAATTCGACGCAGGAGCTGAAAGCCATCCCAAAAAGTATTTATTAAAAGAGTTTCATGGACTGGAAAAATCGTACCATAACTCTGGAGGGGATTAAGTCGACAAAATAGTATTGATGAATAATTAAATATTTTGCGTTTTATTTATAATTTCCGGGTCCTTTTTTGTCATAATTTATATATATACATTTATTTTATAAAGGCTCATGTTTCCTCCTGGGTTTCACAAACTTCATGGCAAACTTTACGTACCCTGTTCAGTGTGTAATTACGGGAACACGTCCATACAACTTCTTAATAGAGAAATGAAAAATTGTATTTTAGCTGAAAACTACTAATATATTTTATAAACTACTTGTTATTACTTCTTCAATAAATTTTCCAAATGGAGAAAGGTTATTGTGCCCTCACATCATAAACCTCATTCTAAGAATATGCCTGCTCATCTGCCAAACAGAAATATCACCCTGCTTTGCAAAAAACAAATCTACCGATTAATAGTTGCATTATTCATAATTATTGGCAGCACATATTTGTGCGTGTTTATAAAAATAATTGTCATTACTGACTTTGTTCGTCATTCAAAGTAATTTCCTCGAAAGAGAAATCCATTTTTCACTGCATAGCTGCCACATTCATGGAAAAGTTAATGTGGAAATGCAGCGACAATGAGCAATTTTGCACACACAAACACAATTAAGGTGCGCACACAAACATATGCAACCGAAGAAGTGCGAAAGGCCTTAATACCCACTATTGCCAACTATTGCAATTAGGCTTAGCGCTTTTGCAGCAACATCTGCACTCATACATATTCATTTGTTTTTTTATTTGTGCGGCATAAAATCGTCATCGCCTCATCATGCGTCCAGCGATATACATATGTATGTATGTACATAAGCATGGCAATATGTCACTCGCATAAAAATTGGTTTTTTTGTTATGATTTTCAGTCATAAATTTTTTAATGGCCGTAAAAGTGTTTCATCTAATCAAAATGCTGCATTTGATTTAAATAGTTATCATTTATGTTGCATGGATTGGTAGCTAACTATGCATGTTATATATAGTATATAGTGAAAAGAGAAAAGAGAAAATATAATGATTTGAATATAATAATATTGATAATTTTGTGCATAAATTGCGATATCGAGTTAAGCCTATGGCCTAATACTGTAGATAAATGCGATTAAAGCTTCTTACTTAAGTCGGTACAACTCAGTAGTGCGTTGCGATTCGAATGGCTGAAATATCGAACAAGAATTTGTCCCAAATTTTATAATTGTAACCAAATTTCATGTGCGGAATCATTGTGAATGTTGGAAAAGGTTTACAGTGATTCATTCTTATCAAAAACACAAGACTACGACTGGTACAAAGCCTTCAAAATCGGTCGAAAAGTTGTTGAAGGCATGTCTCGTTCTGGACGACCTCTTCAACTAAGGAAAATATTAAAAAAATTGACGATAATTGAAAATCATCAGGCAATTGTTAGACAGATGGCAAGTGAACTCGACAATTCTCTCGCGTTATTTTGGGTATCAAACGCGTTCTTGCTCGACTCGTCCCGATAAAACTTACATTTAAAAAAAAAAAAAAGAGGGAGAAGAATTTTTTCATAAACAGGTCTCTTTGGACATGCCTAATTGTGCATGGAGATCATTATAACTGCCGATGAGACATGGATTTATGAATTTGACATGCAAACAAGTAAGCAATCAGCGGAATGGAGGGTAAAAACGAGACAAAACCAAAAAAAAAAACACAAAACCGCTGAAAAAGCAAGATAATGCTCATTGTTTTGTTTTTTTTTTAATAAATATCCGTAGTTTGATGCATCACGATTATATTCCGGAGAGACCGACCATCACCAGAAAGTAATATTTGGCCATCGAAAACGGCATCGAGTCATGATTGTAACCGAATTTAAAGCCAAAAATGTGTGATTTTCTCTTGGCCAATTTGCCGAATTCTTCAAAATTTTGGAAAGATTGTTATGCTATCGTTAGTATCAAACCCCCAAACTATTTTGGCAAGTGTCGAAAAAATCTCTTAAGACTCATCTATCGCTTTCAGGACATCTTATAGACATCGAACATATACCGAGAAAGTGGCGTCACAAAATTTATTTTAAGAGCCACATTATCGTTATTACCGCATGTATCCATATGTTTACGCTTATTGTATTAATTCTTAGGTTATAATTACGGTTGTTAACACAGTAGAAATTACAACTGCCATTATTTATAACCTTGACTTCTTAACACCTAATTTAACAAAGCACACACAATAACAATAGTGACTGCATGCCTGTATAAGCATAGTGGTATGCAAATTTAGTCAAAATGTTACACATTAGATAATATGAGCTTTGTATGTAGATATGTACATAATTTCAGATACGCTGCTGTAACCTTAATAATAGTTTATAATTTTTTTTGCTGGTTTTATACTGGAAAAAATTTGCTAAACAAAAGTCAAACTATTATATATAAAAAGAACTTTTGCATAGAAAAGCCGAGAGATCAGAGGCTCATTATATTATATACATACATATATGTACATATATGGGTAAACATACAATAAAAAATTTGAAAATATATATAAATATATTTATACACAAAACATATACATATACTATAACAAGTGCATATAAAAAGTTAGAAATTTCAACATCCACAAACTCTGTGTGGGTGAAACCAGCGGCGCGCATAAATTAGCTCGACATTGGCCCCCAAACTGTGCGCCGAAGTGCTTCCAGCTATGTTTATGAGTGTATTCACCGCTCGCCCACCCAATTTGACTTTTAGCAAACAATTAGCGCTTAAAGACATTTACTCACCCTTTTTTTTTTTTTTTTTTTCCAAAATGCCTTAGTTTTATTTGCAAAATATTCAAATAATTATGTAAATTATCTCTCTGCCAGAAAATCACTGTGGAAATGAAGCCATTAACGTGAGTTAAGTAATATGGTCATTTATGAAATATTGAAGTTTTATTATTTACTGCACTTTCAAGTAGTGTGCATATGTATATTGGATTTCTGTAGGATGTTGCTGTGATATATGTTTTATATTTTTATTCATATAATAAACTATACAAAACAGTACAACCCTATGAGCAAGCAAGAGTAGCAACCTAACCCCGCTCGTGAGCTTGCGTTCTAGCGCTGGACCTGGACGACGACCACGACTGGGAGACTCTTCTGACCTACAGTAGCTCATCTTGCCGCAATGCTAAAATCCAGTCGGACGCCAGTTATCAAAGTTGTATGGAGCAAGGTGAGGTGTATTAATGAGAATCTGTATAAGTTTTAGGAACCACAATGGACTGACGTCATCAGCTGTGCATTGTGGCCTTAAAGGCAAAGTCAAAGGTTATGTTCTTCAGTCTAAAGCTCTCACCGAAGGCCTAACTTTGATAATTTATTCTGGGTGTAGGAAAAAAGAAATGAAAGGAAAAAGAAAATGAAAGAAAGAAAGAATGGAAAAAATATATATTGATAATTTATAAAATATTGGCTTTGTTAGGCCAATCTTCGGATCTGTTTTTTTTTTTTTCAAGATTATCTCTGCGGGATGCGAGAATTCTAACGCACTTAGAGTTTAACGTTGTAACGCTCCCTGTAAAAGATAGAATATTTTTGTCACGATGTACTTTAAGCAACATGTAGTATAGTTTATAGAGTTATCAAATACAATAGCTAGTCCTACTAGGCTTAATTGGAAAACTCTTTTAAACGAGTCGAAATCCAGAACATGTCTGATAATATTCTTAATTATTTTGTCGTTCGTTTCTCTTTATTGCAAAGAATTTTCTGAAAGATTGAAGACAGATTCAAAGCTTAATGAATGAGAAATGCGAATAAAATATGAGCTTAAAAGTTAAAATCTGATCAATATAAGCATACACATTGATAAGCATAATCAACAGCAACAACAATGCAACCTGCAACAATTGCACTGGAAATTAGTATAATTATGGCAGTAACTGAGTTAAACCCACATACATATGAAGGTATATACCATCTTATTATATGCTCTCTCTTCTCTGCTTAAGCAATTTTCTTAATTATTTTATAAATTTGTTTATCTTTTTTATCTCTTTTTATTGTTCTTGTTGCTTTTAACTCTCTGCATCAATTGGAATAGTTGTTGGTCGAAACTCTAAAAACGCAAACAAAAACCGCACTGTGGCAAGTGCCACCGCACAACAGCAGCACATTATCTTGCCATTGCTTCCCCAACACTCCGCTGCCACTGCCACAGTCTAGCCTACACCTTTTAGGCACTTGTTTTTGTTTTGTTTGCCTTTTGTTGCTGCTGGAACTGGCATTGGGACCTAGCCGAGCAATTCTTCTGCATAACTGCTTTGGTGCGCAAGAAAGTCGCACAAGCTGTGGTCATAACATTCAGTCTGCGCTGGACCTGTATCGTGATCGGTTGTGTTTTACGGAAGAATTGTTTAAATTAAAATTTTACTACCGGCAAGTAACGCAAATCAACACAGTGCGCGGTGTAAATTTGAATTACTTTGGAGTTCGGTCTTTGTTGAAAGAAATTAAAAAAAAAAAGTTGTTGCCTTTGTTAAAGTGTTTATATTTTTTTTTTTATTGAAAATATCAAATTCAAATAAAAATTGATGCTGCATGCAAGAATTATTAAAAATTGTGGAATTTGATGAGATAAATATATGAGTTTTGTAATCATATTGGAATTGGTTAAAATGTCAGTTATCATACCAAGGAATTGAGTTGGGATATTGAATACAGCTTTTCTTAAAATTCCTAAAAAATAGTAAGTGTAATATTTATTTTAATTTTTTGCGACCAATCCTCTTTAAAAATTGACACAATCGCACATCGTCTACTCATTTTTAAAATATATAATTTTTTTACTATTCCGTTACTCCACATAAATAGCGTATATGAAAGTATGCAAAGTTGTCTCCAGAACTTAATTGACACTCTTTGTTCATGATAAACAATTACCAAAAATGTGAAAAAACCCTCCATAACTTCGCCTTTCTACATAGCGTATAAGGACTAAAATAGTTTATTCTAAATTGTAAATTTTGTTTATTTGTTTGCGCAAATTTATGACACAAAGTAAGAGGAAACAAGAAAGAAATTTCTCTTCCAAAAAATATTAATATATTGCATTCACCAAAAGTGCTGGAATCGAGTACCTAAAACTCTTTTCTGCCATATAAAACTATAAAACATATTAATCGTGGTATAATAATAATATTTTGAAGGCAAGTAAAACAGCAAAGCTGCACTACTAATGAATTCATTCTCATGGTGACACTTTATTAAAAATATTTTTAAGCATAAATTAAAAAGATTTCTTTAAAAAGACTCACCTGTGATCAAAACGATGAAACTCTACCGATAAAGCCGCAGTTTTTTAATAAACCTGTAAATATAAAACTAAACACTTCTTCACACAAACTTTCCAGCACACAGCACAAACATTTAGAACACAGATTAAAAAACAAGCTTATACATATGTGGGCGCATACATATTTACATTAGAAAGCATATGCTGCATCACCATTTGACATGAAACACTTTATTTCATTTGACATTTTGTATTAACACTATTTTTTCCTAACATAACAAGCGAATCGGAAGCATTTATACGGCAATTGAATTGGTGGCGGAAATTTGTCAGAAGCATAGATTCATATTTGCAATGAAAAATTGTAAGTTTATTACTTGAAGAATGATTAAAAATTAATTATTAAGATTTAGTATTTACATACAAATATTATGTATTACTACTACACGCAGCATGGTAAATAAAAAATAATTTGTGATTGTTTGCTGGAAAATAAATATTTTAAATATGCTCTAAAAAGTATTTTAACATTAAACATTACCGAATTCAAAACTTGTGGAGATAAATGATAAAATAAGTAATAAAACCATATGTCTAATAAACCACATCACAAACTTTTCAAAAACGAAACTACTTTTTACAAATTTTTTTTTTTTTTTTTAATTTGTATGAGATTTTCGAACGAAAATTATTATTAGCATAAGACTTTGTATATTCATTAATATTCTATAGCAAACAGATGTATACAGATTTGTATATATTTATGCTGTAAAAAAAAAAAAAATTATTTATTAATTTTAATCATTCGCATCATTTACTAAAGAACTCTACTTCGCGATTTCCTATCCTAAAGATTTCCACTATCTATAAACTGCTTGACATTTCTGCATTCTACTGGCAACGCTATTTCTTCAATTGCTTTATCCTATTTCCGCCGCCATTTCAAATGGCTTGCAATCGCTTCTTATTGGCGAATGAAAAATACTTGACATCACAGGTGACTTCTATGATCAAAACCTTCGGCACAATTACTTGTGTAGACTTTACATATTTTTAAGAAAACTCACTTATTTTTTATAAAGAGGCAGCAATTATTTAGGAAACACACAAAATATAAAACCGAGCACTTTTACGCACAGCACAACACAACTCTTCTGCTTTGGTTGCGCAGATTACACACGTCTACATACTTGTATATTAAGAGCTCCTTTACCACTTGATTATGTACAACACAAACGTTGCATATACTTCATCTCACTTTGAACACAAACTTTAACTATTTTTTGCCACAATACACCTTTTTATATTGATAATAATACTAAAAGTACAAATTTTCAGCAATGTTTCAAAAGCGAATAGGAAATGTATGCGCGTCAATTAAAAATGCGGAAGAAGCTAACGAAATGCATAGAGTTGCATTTGCATTGACACATTGTTCGGTACGGAATTCACGGTTAGATGGATTATTGAAACACTAATAATATTATTGTTAACTCGTATCCGACTACCAGATGGCGCAATAACTATTCAGGATACGTCCAAGGTGCAATAACAGCTAAGTGAGGCCAGACCGATTAAAAGTTTGAAAAGTAAAAGTAAAAGTAAAACTGTCAAATTTTATTGCGTACCGGCAACTTTAGTTTTTGTTTTGCGTTATCCTATTTCCGCCGCCATTTCAAACGTTGGCTATGTGTTAGTGAAAAAACTGCGATTTGGTCAGGTGACTTCGATGGCCAATGCCTGAAGTAGAAGAATTTAATTTAGTATTTTTTATTGATCATTAATAAGACTAACGTTTTACCATATGTTATATACAAATCCATATGATGGTGCGAAAATTGTTATAGAAACGTCTTTAAACAACACTTGACTATCCAATAGCACTCACATACATAAATTAGTCTTTTCGCCTGCGTAGCGCATCTACATGTATATTAAGAGCTCCTTAAGCATTTGATTTATTAAAACAAAAGCTTTGCACATACATATGTACATATATATTTTTGTTTAAAACGAACATTGCTTTCTATTTGCGTTTGAAAATGTAATTTTCGAGATTATTATTGCTAAAAATCAAATTTTCACTTTTTATCACCGTATATAACTAACGCACTTGGCACTTCTAAAAGACAACTAAAAGGAGCGCGGAAACTGCTCAAATGCATAGAGTTGCATTTGCAATGACAAATTATCAATTGTGGTATTCCCTATATGAACTGCTATATAATCAAATTTGGTGACAATTTAAAAACAGTCAATTTATTATATAAAATAAAAACACAAATTTTAAATAAAACATCGACATTTCTTCAATGAACAGCAATTATCTTTCCAAAAAAGGCATGTAATATGAAAATTTTTTGAAACAATTTCATTCGAATTCCAGTCGGTATTTTTAAAAATAGTTATAGATTCATTTATATTTTATATCAGTTAAACAAACATCCAATCAGTTCTTCTATGACAATATAAGCTAACAAAACGTATGATCTTTGATTAAACCATTAATAAATTGTAGTATCTTTTGGTACTAGCTCACATTTTTAATATTCTAAATTTCAAGAACACCCCCTTGCTGTCATTACAAATTCGCGTTCGTGTAAAACAGATGGCGCCAGATACAGGACAGGAGCATACAGAGGACTAAAAATAATGCTGCCAAATAGTTCAGAAGCTGACAGCATGACGAGTTTAATTAAAAGCTACGAAAATAAACACATCGAATTTTATGGTTCAAACAAATTTTTTTGGTTTTTATTTTTGTTATTATAAGGCTTGAAACTTATTTAAAAAAATTATTTGGGACAAAACCACATACTTGAATATTATTTAAGTTTAATATTATGCACGTTCTGGCAACTCCGTGCCGTTCTATTTTGTTTTCCAGTTTCCGCCGCCATTTTAAACGCCGCTCATACATTTCCTAATCTCCTGTAAGAAATTTTCATCCGTATTAATTTCGTGTTGTGAATCATGCAAATAAGTAATTTCATTAAAAATAATATGCTGTTGGAAACTTTTACTTTAAAATGTTTATTTGACCAATCAAAGTATAAAATAATAGGCAAAAATAGCTCAAATGAATAGTTTATTATTATACAGAGCTAATGCAGTGGCTTTTACGAGTACATTGGCTTTCTAAATGCCAAGATTTTTACTGCGCAACTGTAAGTAAAGTAAGACATTATCTTAGAAGAAATAAATTTCAGTTATATGTTCCTAAGATGAGTTTGCAAATTATACTTGAGTGCTTTTTTATAGGGAATTAATAAATATACCGGGCGCCCAACTGGCATGAAGGTAGCAGGAGCGCTACTTAGATTTTGTAATTATTTCAAACAGATGTCAAAGAGTAATTTTGGATTTTTGTTGAAGCTTTATTAAGGTAAATATGTATATACTTATATAGTGAGACAATAGACTACTTAGTGTGCATTCTAAAAAGCTTGATGCCATTGAAGAAGTAAGTGCAGGGCATTGTACGTTTAGTTTTAGCATATTTTCAGTTATCATTGTGTTCTTTATTTTAACTAAACCGTGACACACATATTTCAATTACATACACATATAATTAAATATGTTAAAAATTGCAAATTTCTATTTTTAAAAAGGCAAAAAACAGCCACTCATTTTAGAACACATAACGGCTGCGGGAATTATAACAACAGAAAGATCTGTGCCTTTTTGAATGAAATTATGACAAACGACTCGAACATTGTAGACACAAAAATAAGAAAATTATAATTTAATAGAAGAGTGACATGAACATACATACGTACAAATTTTGAAAGTTCTCAACAAAAGTCACAAATTCTCAAATTAAAAATATATATTTCATAGTGGAGGAGTTCTAAATAATTGCCGGCATTTGTGTACGTTTGAAATTATTTTTCTCGCTGCACGCTGAACTCATCAAGCCTTCCGGCTTGGAAAAAGCTTAATAGCAGTAGCAATCATTGGTCAACGGTGGCGGGTCACTGTCTTTTCTGCGCTGTGTTTCTTCTACGCTAATGACTTTACTGAAGCAATCAATGTGTTCGCTCTTGTTGTTGTCCAATGCAAAAGTAGGTCTCTTCCCTGAAATTTGAACAGCCAGCGCTTTTCCAAAATTTAACTTTTACGCTTTTAATGCTTAGGAATTCGATAAAAAGGCAAAAACCGCCTTATGCTAATTAGTAGCTGTGAACAAGACGCGTGTAAGTTTGTGTATATATGTACGTGTGCACAGAATTGTTATAGAAATTTTGGTTGATTCCATGCTGGAAATCGTTAATCAATGAGCACCTAGTTTTGTGTATGCAACCGATGGCAGTAAACAAATGTAAATAAGTGTGACGAATAACTGTGACTGCCGTCAATAGGCCATAGAATAACCAAATAACAAAACACAAATGACGAGTCAAATGATGTGCCACAAACAGATATACATAAGTAATTTCTCTCATTGTACCGTT